CTTTAATTCATCCACCAGGCAATGTGTCCACTTCCTTGCTTCACCTAATTTATACCATCTACTCTTTGATAGCCTGCGTTACAGTTTTCAGTTCTATATTACAGTTTTATGTGAGAGTGAGTCTGCAAAATGATTTTGTCCTGGATAATCCATTCATTGCCTAAATCTGTGTGTTTGGTTCTTTCCTGGAAACTTATAGCCTAGAGGATGAAATGAGAAGTCTATTTCAAGGATTTTGCAGTACATTGCTTGTTCTCATAGAGTCAAAGGCCACCAGATAATAAATGATATGAATTGAACAGACTAAGAAGCTGCAATCCTCAAAAGCATGTTTACTGCAGACCTGAAACCAAGTACTGTGATTACTGAAGCTTTATATTCATAGGTGACATTTTCAGTTTAGCCCCTGTGAAATGCACCACTAAAACCATGCTAATCCCTCTGAGATTATCAGCCATTTCAGTATCTTGGCTCATTTAGCAAATCTAACCATTAAATGATAAATGCACATTAAACAAGTTGTGGGTTTTTTTCTGAGCATTTACATTTCTCCCTCCTCTATTGTGCAAATGTGAGGAGGCATACTTCACTGTGTAAGAGGCCACTTTCTGAACACTTGTTTTTCCTCCAAACTGAGAAGATCTAGAACAACTCAGTTTTCTAAATTTTAGCCCTATGGGGGCTAGTCTAGAGACCAGTTAGCTTTAGGCTGTTGTTGCTCTTTCCAAACATTTCAGCTGCCACTCCACTTCCATGTGCCTTCTGAGGCTGTTCAAAACTGCTTTAAATATGCTTTTGAGGACTTGGTGTCTTCATCTGCATGTATGTTCACGTGTGCAGGGAGTTGGGGCTAACAACCACATAGGCTTAACCTGTAATGCTCTATTGCCCTTGTTACAGTATTTTTTTTTTTCTGTCTTACCATTTTTTCTTACTGAAAAGCTGCTAGTGCACATTGGTATTTGTCAGTCACTGGCCCACCTAAAAAACCTCACATTTCTGAGAGCTCCTCTGCAGTTTATTGCCAGCTCCTGTTTCCCAAGGGAAGGGGATATAGGAGCTGATGGGGTTGTATTGCTGTAATTAGTTGGACTGTGTTGGAGCAGTCTGGGGAGATATCAAAGGAATCTCTAGTTGTCTTTTCTGAAGCCTCATTCCAGGAACAAAAAAACCCTAACAGAACAAGCTAACTTTGCTGTACTTGGCACAATCTTTCCAGCTGAGTGACCCGAGTTGGTTATTTTAAAGCTAAACGAAGACAAAAGTCATTGGACCTGGGAGATTAAGGACCAACAAAGGCTCCCTTAACACTTTGAAAAACACCTTTCTAAAAGTATTTTCACTAAGAGGTCTAGTGTTTTCTTCTCCTTTCTTCCTTTTTTGTTAATCTTTGTGCAAAGACAGGGCCTTTGATTTTAGTATTGGTTCTCCACTTAAAGACATGGGATTAGATTTGTCTGTCAGCAGCTAGAGTTTACTCTAGAAGGATCATTCTTGCAGGATTTTTGACCAGTCTCACAGTCCAGAGGTCTACAACATTCCTGTAAACCTTGGGAGAGCAATCTGCACTTCTGGGATCTATGCTGCACTAAGCTCAAAGGCTACATCTATTCTTTTCACCACCGTATTATCTGGTAATCTTTCAGCTGTGTATTTCTCTACTGCCCTGCTCTGGTGGGAATAACATTGAGGCTTGGGGCTGTATTCGCTCAGTCTCTAACTTCTAAACAATGAACTGTTTTACTTTTTCTACTGCTGCTAAAGGAGCAGCATTTCAGTAGCTGTTGGTAGCTGCCTCTGCTTTCCCTTTCTAGGGTTGAAAAGTGGGAGGTGTAGTCCTCAAACCAGCACCAGATACTTGTCTGCTTCTTCTTCACATTGCATCCATGCTGCAAACTGAACACAGCAAGAGAGAGACTCCAGCATTATCTGAATTACAAAGTCATTCTATTGTCAAGCCTTTTAAGTGTCAAATTCTCTTTTAAAACCAAAGGCTGTGACATTCACTAGAGAACAGCATCGTTTCAAAGTCAGGAAGGTCTATTCTTAGCACATCAGTCAAAAAGGAAAAAAAAAAAGTCTTTGGGGAAAAAAAAAAAACCCCAAACAATTTTACCAAAATGAACCTTGTCAGAAATGATCAATTCATCTTCCATTCAGATTGACCTGGTCCTTGCTGTATGCCAGAGGACAAAATTTGATGACACAGCACAATAAATTAAGATTGCCAGATCTCCTTGTAATTAATTCTCTTGCAGTGCAGGTTTGGCAAAGAATAATTTACCTTCGAGGTGATTAAATAACTGGTAGTTTGGTTTTGTTTTTTTTTTTTTTTTCCTTTTTAAGGAACATTTCTCCTCAGTTAGTTGAAGAATAGATGCTGATGAGTAACAGCCACTTCCCGGTATTTTATTCATGCTATGTAAATACCTCTTCCTGCTAGACCAGTGCCTCCTCAACAGTTAAGACTGAGCACATCATATCCCAGAGGGGCATGGGGGCTCTATTGTGTTTTCCTGTTTTCTGTTGTGCAGCCCCTCAGAAACCTCCACTGCACTGGAGAGCCCAGGTTTACTCACACCCCAACCTTCAAATCTGTGAATGTCACATCCAGCCAATTTGTCTTTTGCCTTTATTATTACTCATTAGAAAACTTCAGTCTGAGTTCATGAAAAATAAATAAATATGGTCTATAGCCTAATCTTGAAACCTACTTGTGCATTATAATAGTTATGATTCTTGAACTAAACAGAACTTCTGAAGTATTTATACTAATACATACCCTACAAATTATTTAGTCTTCAATTAAAAGAGAAAAATAATTTATTTAGCACACTAGAAACTTAGGTAAGATGTCTATGTTATTTCTTCAAGGCTGTATCCTCTAAACTCTGCTTATAAGGAGCTGCTATGGGTGGGCTCTTCATATTCAAGGACTGAGAGAGTGCAAAGAGCTTTTTCTAACCTTCTTGAAAAAGCCATGCAAGTGTCTTTGTATCTTTAATTAGATGGGGACAGAGTTTTAACTATCACTAAAACTTCCCTATTCCTGAAGAAGGGATTCAGTTCACTGGAGGATGATGCTGGAACAAGTATGCTATCAAAGCAGATTCTTAACATCCCTGTATACGTCCCGACCATCTTCAGCGAGACTGTCATTAGTGTGCTTCTGTCTCTTTCGTTCTCTTTAGTATTCATGCAGTGATGATCATGTGAAAATTACTCACACTTCTGACTTGAGAAAACTTTCTTAGCCCAGAAATTCATCCAATATCAAGGGAATTAGAAATTCAAATGGGGGCAAATTATACACTGTGTGTGTCAATACAGCAAACCTTATAAAAGCTACAATCAATCATATCGGCATCAAAGGTGGCAGTACATTTCCTTGTCACCAAGTGGATCACAGTCCAACAAACAAAGGAAAAGGTGAATCAGAACAAGAAACTTCACTGTGCTGCTTGGAGAGGACAACCTCATCTGAAAGCACAGACCTGGAGTCAGTTCTGGAGCTTCTTTGTATTGTGGTCCATGGTTATGCACAAATCTTTTTTGTTTATTTGTCTTGCCTATTTATTTGCTGCCTAAGCTATACTGTAACGCAGGTTCTGTCTCTCACTGTGCTTATGTGCCATTTCAGTAGAACAAGTGCTTTCCCAAAGTCTTTGATTATTTAAATGAACTATTGCACGCAGTCCCCTTCCCAAACCTCTACGTGAGTACTCCAGTCCTTCCTGTGCATTGATACCTAGCACGTTCCTGTTGCAAGTTAAATCCAAATACCTTATGCCTGGGTGCAACCTCACATTAGGCAGCCCACTCTGCAAATCATTTAAATTCATTAAATGAATGTAATGATCCATACTGGTTTCCCACTGTCCAGCTGCTGACTGAACAGTGTGTGGTACAGAGTGGACTTCCATTATGATTATCTTTAGATTTTTTAAAAATCTATATTATGTTGTATGACTAATCAGGTAAACAACTCTCCCTCAGAAACACCTCCCAAAATTATTGCATGTTGATGCATGTATTGATGTTTCACATGTACAATGCCAAACCTAATGCAGGTATGTGTAAAACCCAGCAGTGACTTATGGAGACTGCAGCTCATTCCTGCATGATTCTCTCTCTTTGCTACTCTCCTTATGTGTTTTGACTGCCAAATTTTGTGGTTTTGTAGGTCTTGTATCTCAGCTCTCTGCTGTCAGCTCCCTGAGATGCAAGAAGTAGGCATGGCCCAGATGCTTGCCTGAAGCAGAAATAGCACATCCTTCTACTACTATTCTCCATCAGGTCCCCTGAGTCTTGAATTTCTGGCAGACAGTATTCCATGGGGAGAAAAAAAACCCAGACCTTTAGTTTGCAGTTGTTGTAAAAACCTGATTCTGGTTTGGTGTAATTTAGCAGACTGAAATAGAGGTATAATAAATCTGTTATACTGTCTTAGTGAATCAGTAAGCTTATACTGGTAAAAACTGTTCAGATTCTGGAATATTCAGTAATCCTCCTGCATTTCCAGGGGCTTTTGTGTATTCCCAGTGTTTTGTCTATGTTACAGTCTGCAGCTTTGAGGGGATATGTGTACTGATAAGTATGTGTTTCTGGATGGGTGTTTTCAAAACTCCAGAGAGACAACAGGAACCAAACGGCTCCTGTTAATGATTTAAGGGTTTATGAGTATATGTATATATTTATTTCAGACTGGTATGTAGCAAAGGTGAACAATAAAAGCCCTGTTACTTCGGATCGTTTAAGATATGCTGGCATACAGTGTGTGCAATGAACTAGCTTGTGTACCTGTGGGTATAGGTAGTTATAACTGTGTGTGAAGGTAAGCCTACACAAGTGTAGGTAGATGGATAGGTGCATGCAGGCTGCCCTTTGCAATGCTCAGAATTGTCACTGGTGTCTCGCAAGCCCCGTGGTGACAAGCAGGGGCTGAGATTTCCTGGCAGCTGCTGAGCTTTCAGAGGAGGCGGCCACGCGGGATGCCTTACCTTCTGCGCTCTCCGCTTGTCGGCTCTCTGGTTCTGGTGGTAAATTCGGCTGAAGTTGGAAACAATGACTGGAACCGGCAGAGCAATGACCAGCACCCCACTCAGGGAGCAAATGGAGCCAAATATCTTCCCAGCAATTGTCTTGGGCACCATGTCACCATAACTAGAGGGGGAAAAGAAAAAAAGGGGGAAGCCCCTCCTTCAGACAAGTGCAACGGCACCACAAGCCTTTTCAGGTTCCCTGAATGCACAGCAATGTGAGTGTCCAGGTTAGACACTAAAGCTTAGAAATCCACCATGCAAGCAGCAATTCATGTGGTGCTGTCATCCTGGAGATGACAATTTACACTGCGCTTTGGCAATGAATTATGCTAAACCAAAGAAAGGCACTTTTGTTGCAGAATAGATATGCCAGTTCGGGCAGCTGCTGAGTATGTTAAATTCACATCCTCGCTTATTTAGTACCTACCTCTCCATGTAGCTGAGCTCTAACAAACTTAAAACTGTATGTCTGCTTGTGAGCAGGTTCATATATTTTCATTTCCTTATATCCAGGTGCAAATGAGGACTGATTTACACTTTCATTTCAAAACCCAGCAGTTTCCTTGCCATCTGTACAGTCAGAAATTTGAGGGTCGTTCAAAGTCTGGATTCAGTAAAGGGTGAATTCTGAGGAATATGAGACCAGCTGAAAAATATTCAGACAAACCTCTGCACTGGGTTTGAGCCAGCAATCTTCATTAACAATTAAAATTTGTATGTTAAATAATACCAGCAGAATCCGAGATGGAATAATCTATTTTGCACAGATGGAAGATGGTGCTGGTTTAGGTTCTGTGGATTCCACGCGACAGAAATCACTACTCTGTTGAAGGCTTACTTGTTGTTTGTGTTTTTACTTTTTATATTGCAAAAGCTTTCTGCAGTAGTTTTATACTTAAGCTTTAATACTGTCTGTCTGTAAAGAAAACCAATGTGCTTTGCCTTATGGCTACTCACCAGTGCCATAAGAAGGAGCATGCCCTCATGGAACATACAGTACTGAAACTGTTCTGGGACTTGGACACCTGATTGACTGAGCTGGCTTACTGAATGCTGCATTATAGCGAAGGCAGTGGGGATTTTGAATTCTGATTTACAGTTTGGCCTGACAAAATCCCCATGTTGCATCCCCCCAGGTGAATGGGCCTCTTAATTCTAACCGACGGCGCTATTGCTCACGATTCCCCTACCTCACAGCACAACTTCTGATATCCAGTGGGCACCAGATGTTGGCAATGCAAATGTTGTGCCTGCGTTCAGCAGATGCAGGGTGGTAACCTCCACAGGAGGCTCTTCCTCCCCTGCAGTTTGCCCTCTAGAAGTGACTTCAATGCTTTTTTCTGCAAACGGTTGACAAGCAAATAAAAACCCATCCAGAAAGCTGGATGTGGATTGCAGTGTGTTCTGATCATATACAAAAAGCTTACTTGTAGCTAGTGCCCCTAGAGTATGATAGGAACGTGATTAGCACAGCCACTTACTGAATTTACAGGCCTTGTTTTAGTGAGCCATTTATTACGTGCTTGCATGCAAATGTATATTAATATCAACATTCACTGAAGAAATTTTCATCTGGAGGACAGGGAAAAGCAAGCAGCCAAATAACAGATTTTTTAAAAAAATCTCTAGTACTGAAATGACTGTGCAGAAACCACTAGCATACAGGAATTCCCAAAGTACCTCTGTGACTCAGGAGAACACATTGTACTCTGTGAAATCCCACTACAAGCATGTTTATGTGACCTGGCTACACCCTGGAGTAGAAGAGAGGTCCCAGGCACTGCAACCTGCTGAAGTTTTGCAGTAGACAGGGAAAGGATGCTAAAATTAAAATTGGGCCTAAGGAAGACATCCCTTGTTTCAGGGTCCTTGAAATCTGGAGAGGTCCCTAGTTGCTATCAGATGGTGTTTGGGATTTCTGTTCTCTTCTTTGAGATGTTCTGGTGTTTGATACAGCAAATATTGAAAAGCAAAATGATTTACAGTTGAGGCTTTATTTTTACCTTGGATGTCTGCATATGACCAACAAAGAGCTTTTATGGGAATAGAGTTGTGCTAAGAATCATTTATGTCCAAGGGGAAAACCAAATATTTCAAAATACCCTTTTTATCAGCTAAACTTCTTTCTCCCATCCAAAACCTCTTTGGTATGAGGGTCTCTGAATAAAAGCAGAACTCATTACACGTTAACTGCTTGCTCCTGGGAGTCTGTCATGTCTCTCCTTCTAGGCTTGGTGGCTAGACAGTGTGGCCAGGCAGCTGGGTAAAAGATTATCATTGCTGGGCTATCACACTCACTTGTGTCCAAGGAAAGGCCTAGTTTCACACTAAGTGACAGCTTTTCTTTGGCATTTTCAGGTTTTGGGGTTGGGGTTTTTTTCTTGTGTGTGCATAATTGCTTCAGGCTTCACTAGCTAAGGCTTAATTATCCCAAGCAGAATTCTTTTCCTGCCTTGACCTGCAATAAAACCCCTCAGAATACCTCAAAACAATAAAATGCTATTTATGTCTATTAACTTTTTAGCTGCTGTTTTATGCAAAGATAGTTTAAAAGCTCTTGTGAAGTGACAAGGTCTTCAGCCTTATTTAACACTGTTCTAAAAAAAAAAAATCTTACTTTTCACCTGCCACCCCTTAACACAATAAGGCTGAAAATTAATCATATGCCTCAAACATGATCTCAGTGACCTGAAGCACTGAGAGAAAGCCCTTCTGTGCATTTGTAGAAAGTATAATAATAAGTGTCTGGCTCACAGTCTGTCCTGGAGAGTTTTGTTCTTACATGCAGACTGAGAGTTACCTCATTACTTGGGACTTCAGAGAAGGTGCTTTAAAACATCATCAGGAAAGATCAAACTGTCTTGGAGCACAGAGCATTTTGCTGGGGAGATGTAGAACTTCACTTGCAAAACTGTTACGAGAGATACTGCACTGAGAGATTTTGCACTAGCTGGAGCAGGCTGCACAGGATCAAGACCTAAAACTTGTAACACTGACTTCTGGATCTACCGCAGAGTTACGCGTGGAGAGAACACTGTTGGATTAATCCATCTGGGTTTGCATGGCATGTCGTGCACTTGTAGCAGTGTTTTCTGGCTTTACTGGGCTGACCTGCAATGCAAGTGATACTGATATTTGGAAATGTCCTAGCTTTTTGATCAGAGTACAACCGAGCTGGAGCTTGATCTAGATCCCCTTGCACTTAATGAGAGGTCTCCCTTTGACTTTGACTATGATAGCTTTTGGAGTGAACCTATAAAGTTGCAATTGTTCTACTCCTATATTGACATATGCAGCTACTGCAATATTAATTGTTGGAGTCACTATTTTTGTCCTGATGAGACCATGAGGTACTAATGGCCACATGGCATATTTATAACAGATACAGTGCCAAATAATCTCAAATATTGTATTTCAGTTAGTACTAATTGGGCATTTTAAACCTAAAACTTCTTTCCCCCAGACTGTCCTATTAATTTGTTTAGTAAAAGGCAACTTGCCACCTAAAAATTTCTCCTACGGAAAGTGTGTTTCAAGTAATTCATCAATAATCTCATTAGAGCAGCAAGAAGATAGAAGAATTAGATAATGATTAACATTCAGAGGGTCTAAGAGGATGTTTGAGCCCCTAATAAAACAACAGGAGGCTGCAAATTCAGTAGACTTTTAATGTGATCTCTGGTAAATCATTTCAGCTTTCTGTACCTCAATTCCCCATTTATGAAATGGCAATTGGTTGCTTATTCTTTGCCTGCGTGGTTAAGTAGGTGCTAGGTTCTTCAGAGGAGGAGCTGCCCCATGTTCTGAATATACCCAACACCCTAAGTGCTATTGCATTACAAATATTAATAATGCAAGGCAGTTGTACAGAAATCTGGAGTAAACCCAGCCTGTACGTGGCTCCAGGCTTGTCCAGAGGTAAATGCTGAGCATTGGCTAGGTTAGATGTGGAACATGCCTAGAGACAAACATCTTTTTATTTATTTTGCTAGGAACCCAGTTAGATGACAACAGGTTCAGCCCGTTTTCAGTTGCTGAATTCCTTGCTCTGCTTACTGGCTGTGCGAGGTGAGATACACCTGCTGCCAGGTGAGCGCTGGGGTGGGTGACCTCTGGGAGGAGCTGCCCTTGCTGCCGCAGTCCCTTCAGTGCTCTCTCTGGACACTGATAGTGATCCTGGAGCCTCTATACACATATCCCATGTTTCCAATGACATAGCTTCGGTTTGTCCCCTTTTCTTTTCCGGGTGTCCCTCCAAAGCCCTGTTTCCTGCCAAGAAAGCACTGTGAACACTGAGACTCTTACTTTCTGTACACATGATGTAAAGTTCAAGTAAAGCCTTAAACAGACAAACCAGAAAAAAACAAAATAGGAAATTACTTTTAAGTGGTCACTCTTCTGACTGGAAAAGGCTGAATGCAGAATTTCAATATTTTTTTTATTTGTACTGTGACTTCTGTGTTCTTTGGGTATAAAAGGGGTCATATGTCACTCACCCTAATTAGCAGCTATTAGCCTTGACAGCATAATGTGCTTTTGTTTTTCTCTCTGTCAGTACAGAAAATGCTATCAAATAGAGGTCACTGCTTCTGAGTTCTGGTTTTAGCGGTAGAGGTGTCTGGACAGCGCTTAGCTCCGCAGCTGGAGGCAGCAATAAATAAGGTGCTGAACAGCTCATCAAATGACTCACTCTAAAAATAGACTCTCAGCAGCATCTCTGATGATCCTCTCTCTGTGTACAACATTCACAGCCCTAGAAATAGGGAATTGTAGTAAAAAAGCTGGAAGATCCTATGGTATAGGGACATCGGAAGGGGGACAGAGGATGCTCTTTTCCAGCAGCCTTTTTATGTGCCAACTTTTCAGCTGGTATAAGGCATGCATCTGGGGAGGGTCTTACAGTTCATAAATTACCATTATTGTATAGCTATTGTCTTCATTGGTTTCTCTAGATGCAGAGGAGATAAGAGTGCAACTGAAAATTGATAAACTGTATCCCAACACCTTCCTTCTTACCAGTAAAAGACCTGTCTTTGGACAGAGCGCCAGGTCCAGCACCCATCCTCTTCTCCAGAGCTGGCTCAAGGGAGGGCACTCAGGCTCCACAGAGCAGCATGCTCA